TCTGGGTTGCAGAGTTCGGGCTTAATACCCCGTGGGTGGTAATGGCACAAGCGCTGTGTGCATGAGCTCAGTGCCTGGTCCCAAGGCATGGCTTGTCCATGCAACGTGCTCTGCAAACACGTGTGTGTGCTTAGGAAAGACAAAATGGATCTGGCTTTGCAGAGGGAGAGCAGGGTGCAGGGCTGGGGAAATGCCATGGAGGAGGACACAGCCTGGGAATTGCCTTTGTGACGGAGAAGGCCTGTGGGTGATGGGATATCTCCAGCTCTGCAAGGGACCGGCACCTTTGTGGCATAGCCAGTGGGGACAGGAGGGACCCCGGGGGTACACGTAGGGAAAGAGCCCGATGGGTCTGAGAGGTTACCTGTGCTGTTTGTGGTGCTGTTCTTGTCTGCTGAGATCCCACCTGCAAGACAGGAGAAGGGCCCTGAGATGGTGGCCAAAAGCCCGCGTAGGACAAGCCCATGTAGGATGTCCCATGTGGGATGGCATGTACCGTGGGTCCTTTGTGCCCGCTCCGTATGGGATGGAGCGCTTGGAAGCATCAACCAGAGCCCCACTCAGAGGACACGGGGCAGTGCAGGTTTGGGTACAAACCCTTCTATTTCCATCCCATCGCCTGAATCTTCTCTAAGTAAGCTGCTTTCTGGTTGACATCTCAGTGAAACCTGCCTTCGCTATTGATATCCCCCCTGGGCTGGCACCTCTCAGAGAGGCAGACTCACACCTCTTTATTCACACTCTCCATTTTCTGAATCAACCAGAAACTTTCCCTGCCGCGGCTTCCCTAGGCTTGGAGCCCCGTGGTGGCCAGGGGCATTCTCAGACCCTGGGACCACGCAGCCCCCCGGGACAAGGGCTGGAGGGAGCTGTGGGACCTGCGGTGCGGTGCAGGAAGTGGGGTGAGGCAGGGACCCCCCAACACCCATGGGTGCCCCTGCCCGCAGCTCCAGTGCCCCTGTGCCTCGGTTCCTCTTGCTGCAGCTGGGCAGGAAGCACCAGCCCTGTTTACCGCACTGCTTCATTGCCCAGCTCCATCTGCTTGATGAGTATTTGCCAAACCCTGCCATGGGGAAGCTGGCATGAGGGCGGGGGCTGCACCACCTCCCAGCACGTTGGGGCAGCTGCAAAATTCCCCCCAGAGGAAGAAGAAGGAGGAAGGTTCAATTCCTGAGCCTTGCCACCCTGTTGCAGACTTTCCTGCCCCGAAGAGCAGCCCGGCAGGGACCTCCTGGCTCAGCCATGGGCTCCCCTCCCTGCCCCAGTGCCTCTTCCGGGTCTGCGCTGCCCTGTTCACCTCCAGCACTTACAACTCTGCAGGCAAACTCTCCCCGCCAGCCCCATTTCATTTTTTTCTGAGATGGGGAGATGCGCCTTGTCCGGGCTGTGTGTTGGGTACGTGTCCCTGCCACCTGCGGTCCTGCTGGCCAGCCGGGACACAGGGCTTTGCTCTCCATGTTATGGTGGTGTTTCTAAATGAAGACCAGGCTGGTCCCTCACCCTGAAAGCCCTCATACCCCTCAAAGCCAAGATTTCCATTGCAACCATGGATGGGCCGAGCTTCTCCTGTCCTCCCTTGAAGCCACCGTGAGAGCCAGGATGAAACCCTGCAACCTCGAGTCCATGCTGGACATGTGTGACCACCTAACAGAAACCCTTTAAAAGCCCTTTCTCCTGAGGGCACAAGTTTCCCCAGCTGAGGGTGGGAGCTGCTGCAGGTTTTTGTGGGTGTCCCTGCGCCGAGCAAGAGGGGTTGGAAGGGGACAGGAGCTGTGTCCTGGGTTTAGCTGCTGCTTCTCCATGGCGATAAAGGGGAACAGCACAGGGATGTTCACACAGGGCCCACACATCAGCCCCAAGAGCCTTTGTCCTCTCATTTCTCCTCCGCTCCCGGGCACTGAACCCCACGGAGCAAAGGGACGTGGCTTGGCCGTGGCCTCAGCAATGTGCCGGCCTCGTCTTCAAGCCTCCAAGAGCAATAAATGGTAAAAAAAAACCCCAAACCCACAACCCTTAATTCCTGCCACCTGCAACCACAGCCGGGCAGGCTCTGCACCCGCTTGGCACCGGGCTCCTGCCAAAGCCAGCCGGCCGCCCGAGAAAGTGTCCCATCTCTGCACCCCTCCCTGCACCCCAATGGGAAGCAAAACCCGAAACCCGAGGCAGGCATCAAGCCCTGAGCCCCCATGGGTCCTCCCCAGCTCCGCTGCGCCCGGGGCTGGCTTCCTGCACAAAGCAGGACTGAGAGCGGCGATTGTAAAGTTAAAAACTAATGGATTTAAAGCCAGACCTGGGTGAAGTCCCTCATCGCACTAAGCAAGGGACGCATGCCGGTGCATCACCTGGGTGCCCATTTCTTTGCTCTGAAATGCAAAGCCCGTGTTTGACGCCTACCTGTGACCAGAGCTATCAGCCAGAGGTTCACCTGGAGCACCCAGAGCCTCGTGCAAAGATCAGCCATCTTTCACTGCCAACGGCAGGGAAACATCCAGTCACCGGCCCTCGCTTCTGCAAAACACAGCGGCCGCTCCGACCAGCTTGGCCTCCGTACCTAAAAATGGCAAAGCTGCTGCTACACGAGACGGCCCCTTTCCTGCTCATGTAAATCCTCCTCAACTGGGACTTTCCCCTTGGGGCCAGTTTTGAATGCGGCACAGACGCTGGGGCGGCCGGTGCCTGCGCCCTGGGCACCATCCAGCCTCGTGTCTCCGGGCTGTGCTCGTCATGGTGGCGTTATTTGATGGAGGTGGCCACCACTGGTGTGGGTCTGCACCGGAGCTGGAGATGAGCCCATCTGCGAAGCACTCGGCGATGCAAAACCCGGGTTGAGCACAGGGGATGTGCCCGGGGAGTGGATGTGCCCAGGAAGCAGGAGGCGACTGCCTGCACTGCCACATCCCCGGGGGGCAGAGGATGGGGGTTTCCCCCAGGGTTGTACCCCAGCTCCACAGCAGCGTGGGCAGATCCCCCCCAGTTTAACCCTGCGGGTGATGGGCAGGGGTTGATGCTGGCCCAGTTGCACGAGTTGGAGCAGGAATGGGGTGGGAAGAGGGGACGTTTGTGGGGTTTCTCCTCTCTACTTGTTGTGGGGTGCAGTGGGATCAGGCCCCCGGCTCCCATCCTCCGCATCCTGGAGAGTCCCCGCAGCCGCCCTTCCAAGGAAGGGTGAAATCTAGAAAAGGAGCGAGACGGCCAAAACGAGATGTCACCTCCTCGGGTGCCAGCCATGCCCCCTGTTTGCCATGACCGAGACCCTTCTCCGTGAGTCCTTTGCAGATGGCCACTCCCTGGGGAAGTGCAATGTGGCACCCCAAGGTGAGCTCTGTCCCCCTTCGCTCTGACACAGAAATACAGTTTCCCTCCATGCCGTGCCCTCCGGCTGCTGTGCGTTACCGGCTGCGGGCGAGCACTGAACTGTAACTCCATGTGAAAAACACCTTTGGGTACATTTGCCAGCCGTGTTGGTCCCCAGAGCCTGGGTATCTCTGCCTGGGGCCTCCCCAAACCTTCACCTTCTGCAGGTTTGGTTTTTTTTTGCCGGTTCTGAGCATCTGGTGGCTGCTGGGAACCAGGCCGAGCCTCACCTTGCATGCAAGGGGACATGAAGCAAGAAAGAGGAGAAATAAAGGCTTCCAGAGAAAGACTGGCCCCAGGAGGGAAAGAGAGATGATGGGAGAGGTGCCTTCTTCTCGTAGAGCAGGCATGTCGTGCCGTGCACAGTGCTGTACGTTGGGGCTGTGCTGCTGAGTCCCTGCTGCTGTCACCTCTGGTCTTGCTGGAAAAGCACAGCCCGGCTGTGACATCCCGGCAAGGAAAAAGCCACAGGGGATGCCCATGTGCTCATCAGGCACCGGAGGGATTTTCATCAAGCCCTGGAATTGGAGACGGGAGCTGTGATGAGCGAGGCAGGGATGCGGGAGGTGCCTGGGAAAGCCCTGTAAGGCAAAGCCAGGAGCATGGCACAAACTAAAGAGGGTTTGCAGTGACAATGGCCAAATTACCCCGCTGTGCTGCCTGCCGGCTCCTTGGCACCCTCGAACAAGCACAGACCTGGTCCAGAGGGGCTTGGTCTCCCCTTTAAGTCCCCTGTGCTTGCAGTACCCAGTGGCATGGGATGTAGGAAGACCTGGTGGTCTCACGGGGAGGGTCCCGTGTCCCCATGTCTCTTCTCCTGGGCCACCCTGGCTCCCCAGCCCGCAGCACATGGCCAGACCATGCCCTGTGGGCAGAGCAGAGCCGTTGCCAGGCAGCTGCACCCTTCCCCGGCCCATTCCTATTCATCAGGGCTTGGGTTTCACCGCTGTCCTTTCCCCCGCCGCAGGAGGACAGGGACGGTGGGTTATGCCACCTCCTCCCTCCAGCCCCCTGCCTGCGCGGTACCATGATGCTCTCAACTTGAATTACGCCAGCCCTGGGACAAGCTGTTCCAGTGAGAGCGAAAACACAGTGGCGAGGCCGTGCCATGGCTCTTGGGGACATCAGCGGGTCCCAGAGGTGGCTCCTCCTCCAGCCACACATTGACGCAGAAACCTCCTTCACCCACCACTGCCTTCTCCCCATGACGCTGCACTGCTCCCGCATGGCCGGTGGGGAAGGTTTGGCCCCACGGAGACTGGCATGGGGCAGCTCGGGGGGTCTGCACCTCCTCCAATCCCACCCCTCTCCTTGGTTGAACCTGCAGCAGCATCTCCTATAGCTCCTAGAGTCAGGGCTCATTGCTGTGAGGCACCAAGGGCTCCAAGGGACTTGTTCATGAGCAGAGCAGAAGCTCTGGGGTCTGGGGCTGGGTTGGAGGTGCCAGGGGGAGGCAGTCCAGGGGGTCTCTTGTGCAGGATGGGACCACCAGGTCCTGCTGAGGATGGCAGGTCCAGCCACGGCCACGCACAGGGGCTCCCCATATCTGCCCTGGAGCAAAGGGAGGGGGCATCTACCCCTCCCAGGGGCAGGGAAAACATTTTACCCCTCTAACACACACCGACGCATTTGGTATCATAATAATAGACCATTTACAGTTGTTTATTTTAAGAAATGTACAAAGAAAAATGGCTTTAGCTCACACAAATCCTGCTCTTTGGCATTTTTCCCATCACCGACGACACACACGTACAAGCAGCATTGATTGTGAACCACAATCTGGGCTGGAAACCGCTGTGCCATGGATGCTTCCCACGCAAACACCATTTAAAGCAGGTCAGGCTCCTGTTCCAGGGAGCATCACCCTATGCAACATGGAAACGAAAGCACAACGCTACGGGACGAGCAGAGCGACCCCGGCTCTGCTGCCTGGCCGACAGCACGTGGATGCAAGCAAGCTCAGCACCGCTCCTGGCCAGCCTGAACATGGGGCATCCGTAATGGCTCAGCGCCAAAATCAGCCCAAGAAAAGAAAATTATAATAATAATACAAAAAGACAGACCCTTTGGCTTCAAGAAGCAGCCCTTGTTTTAACTGGAAGAGGTTTTGGTTCATGTTTGTTTTGATCTCAAGAGGTTTTTTTCCCTTTTGAAGGCAGAAGGCGGTCCAGAGATGAACTCGGGGCCTTTTGCACATTTTTCTTGCTTTACTTTCCTTTCGCCCACCTGCGTAAAGAGCAGCAGAACCCTTCCCCCCTGGGAAAATGCTCCTCTGCTGGGAGGTTTCCTCGTGAGGACCTGCCTGGCCCCATCAGGCTCTGCAGAGACCCCAGCACGTGCCACCGGGTCATCTCCAGAGCCCCAGCCAAGGGAAAGATGCTCCGCCTGAGTATTTTGGGATTTACACCCCGGTGGGAGCGTTCATTGCGTTAATTAAGGCCCCCGGTGCTCGGTGGCCGATGGGATTTAAGGGACACCCTTGAGGCAGCTCATTGCAAGGACCGTTCAAACACCTGCTCCGATCCCCGGGGATGCGTCTCGTTAATTAACGCTAACCAAGAGCACTCCAGCGGGACATTTCCTCTTGCTGTGAGGCTTGAGGAAACCCTAGAGGGTTTTGTTACGGGGACTGGGGATTCTTGGAGGAGGTTTTCCAAACCCTACCTTTGTCCATTGCTTTCCTGCCACAAAATCCGGACAAAACAGGAAAACAGAGAAGAAGCGTGACTATAAATACAGTTTACATTCGTACCGTAGAGACCTGAATGATTTATGATTTCAATACATATTCAGAGACCTTTAAAACCTGATATTTAACCCTGAGAACATATCTGCAGATGCTTTGTTTTGGCTATGCAAACAAATCTTTAAGACATAATTGCTCTTTTTCTTTATATAACAAAAAAATAATCCATAAAGCTTATTCAAATATTCAAAAGAAAGGTGCTACTTTAAGACATTGGTGATTTTTGTTCACAAAACCTTGACTTTTCTGTAATTATTCTTAATATTATTTCACTTGGCTCATCTTTCACGGGCTACTTGGCTGCACTCTGGAAGAATAATATACAAGAAAATCTCTTAATTGTGAAATAACATTAATAAATAATTACTTTAAGTAAAAGGACAGCCATACTCATTTTTTAATGTCTGAAAAACATTGTTACCATGATGAGATCATTTCAAAACTAAAATGTTTCTCTTTCACCAATAATAGATTTCACATTTAATTCTCGTAAGAAAAATATTAAACTCTTTGCATGTGCAGTGAGCTGTAAAAACCAGGATCAGTAAGAGATCCTGCTTCGAAAGTTAAGGTGTCTACTTGAAATATCTGAAATTAGCTCAATATCTAAGATCTATTGATCTGTATATGGAAGAGCTCTTGAAAAGGAGACACAAATGAAGTCCTTTCAGGCTGGGCGAGAGATGGAAGCCTCTTTCTGTTATACCAGCGACTCTTTCACAACGCGTTCCTTATCCCATGCTTTTGCTTCACCAGGAGCATCTCGAGTCTCTGAGCTGGGAATGGGTGCAAGACCAAAGGCAGGGGCTGTCTCCACATCTGTCCCACTGTTCCCATACATCTCGTGCATTTTGGTGGCGATCAGACCTTCCTTCTCGGGTGCATCCTCTCTCAGGGCATCCTCATCCTTGCTGTGCCTGTACATGTAGGATGCCTGCTTCACCGAGCGCCTCAGGAGGTACCTCCGGAAAGCCCTCTGGATTTTTGTAGCACAGACTTCCTCATGTTTCCTTTTCAGAGTGGTGGTGATGGGTTCATAGGAAACCTTTGAGGGGTTCGCAGCCATGAACTTCTCCTCCATGGTGGTCTTCAGGGCATCCATCTCTCCCGAGTCTCCCAGCACTTCCTTAGTCAGGGCAAAGAGGATATCCAGACAGTGGATTTTGTCCCCAGCAACCATTGGTAGATCCATGGTGATTAGCTTGATCTTGTTTGGCTTGGGAATTTTGAGTGGCTCCTGTAAGGTGTCTACAAAGTCAGACAAGGTGCTGTACGCAATGAATTGGGTGGCATCTGGGTCAAACTTCTCCCAAGTTTCATAAAACATTTCAAAATCGTCTTCACAGAGGGGTTCGCTGCTCTCCTCCGTGGCCACGTTGAAGTTCTCCAGGATGATGGCAATGTACATGTTCACCACGATGAGAAAGGAAATTATGATGTAGCTGCAGAAGAAGAAGATGCCAATGGATGGATTGCCACAGTCCCCTTTTACCGAACTGCCGGGGTTTTCCAGGTTGGGGTCGCAGTCGGGGGGCCCGCTGTTCAGGATTGGGCTGAGGAGGCCATCCCATCCAGCTGATGTGGTGATCTGGAAGAGGCAGATGATGCTGTTTCCAAAAGTTTCAAAGTTGAAGATGTCATCGATCCCTGCCTCCTTCTTTACATAGGCGAAGTTGGACATCCCGAAGATGGAGTAGATGAACATGACGAGGAAAAGCAGGAGGCCGATGTTGAACAGGGCAGGCAGGGACATCATCAGAGCAAACAGGAGAGTCCGGATACCTTTTGCCCCTCGGATCAACCGGAGGACACGACCAATCCTTGCCAGCCTGATGACCCTGAAGAGGGTGGGTGATACGAAGTACTTCTCTATGATGTCCGAGAGGACGATACCTGTGAAGGGGTGAAAAAGAGGTGAGTTTGCATTGCTCTACGGCCAACGTCGGAGGTGAGGTGGAGCTACTCCACTTCATCTGCTAGGGTTGGGGAGAAAGAGGCAGATGAGGCCACCCCCAATGGCACACAACACTCTGCTCCGCTGGTGGCAAAGGGAATGTATTCCAAAACACCTCTGAGCACAGACCCGAAGGTTAAATGCTGGCTGCTCTGTTTCAGCAATGCAGCCATGCAACGTGGAGACAAGGGGAACCCACCACCAAGGAGGACTGGGACAGAATCCCAGCCCCTCACCCTGCCTGGTGGCCTCACTTCTGTCTTGTCCTGTTGGCTTGGCCCTGCTCAAGGCGTGGGTGTAAGGGGGAGGCCAGTGACAGCTTGCTGGCTGTGGACTGGCCAGACCATTTCCACCCTTTGTTATCCGGTGGGACCAGTAGGGCTCACCTAAGATGGAGAGGATGACCACCACAAAGTCAAAGATGTTCCAGCCGATAGTGAAGTAGTAGTAGCGCAAGGCGAACATTTTGAGCACACACTCTCCGGTGAAGATGACAATGAAGACCAGGTTGATCTTGTAGAGGACAGATGTTTTGAGTTCGCTTTGATCATCTGTTTCGACCATCATGGTCACCATGTTAAGACAAATCAGGATCATGATGGTTATGTCAAACACTTGCTTGGTAACAAAGTCAAACACCATCCCTTGAAACTTGTTCTGCCATAAGGGCCACGTGGGTGATGATGTAGAACCAGAGGCGAGGTGGGAACACGGGACAGACACACACAAAACAAAGACACAACAGAAAAAGAAGAAGGAACCGTATTTAAAAGAGTGGAGGAAACCTCAGGTTTGTGGCCAGTACACAGGTCTCACGGCCCCAAAAGCTATGGGAGGAGGATACCCAGCACCTTGCAGGATGAAACCCACCTGGTAACACCATGGCCAGGAGGTGTGGGCACAGGGACAGTTGCTTTCTAATTATATCCACAGCTAATGCATCAGAGCAAAAATAAACACATGGGAAAAGGTCTCGCTTGAGCTGGGCTATCAAAACCAAACCCAAGTCACAACGGCGTACGTATTGGCAATGTCCCTTCTAGGAGTGTTGAAAACTGAGCTTTCCCTGAGTAACTCCCTCCGAGAGAGGAGGTGGGAGCTGAGCTAGGAGAAAACCCTAATCCCTGCAAAAGGGATCCCCCCCTTGCCCTTGCCAGTGGACCCAGGGCTGAAGAGCAGATCCAAAGGAGGTTTGTCTGAGGTGAACCTCTTCTGAAGCCCCAGCTCTTAGCAAGGCCCTGTCTGAAGAGTAGCAATGGGGAACCAGGATTTGGCTCCTTGCCCTGGCAAATGCTCTTCCCCAGACCCTTCTCATTCACTTTGGGACAGTGGTGGCTTGAAGTCTTCCCTCCCTGCTGCACTCCAGGGCGATTAACCCAACATACCGATGGCCTGGGGATGGGCTTCTGGGGTTTCTTGGAGCCGAGCTTCTTCATGGCATTATAGTATTTCTTCTGCTCTTCCGTCATGAAGATGTCTTTGCCTCCAAATTATAAAGGGAATCACCACTGTTAACCTTGGGAACTCGCCTCTTCCTACAAAGCATCTCCATCCATGCTCCTTCCCACCAAACATCTCCAGCCAAGCTCCTACCAGACATTGCCTGTCGCACTGACCCAGTGAAACCTGATTCCTCCCTGCTTGCCCTTTTCTGCTTCCCCCAATTCACAGCACCCACGGGTGCTCGCCCCAGCGCTGTGGTTTCCTCCTGCAGAGGTGAGATGCCACCTCCCAGCCTGCTGCAGCGAGTGGGGCACCCCATGCCCTGCCGGGGCTCACCCCCTCCTCGCTGGCTGGATCCTGCTGGGAGCGAGGCAGCATCTCGGGGTGCTTCAGACCTCTCTCGGCACAAACAACGTGCTCCGTGTTGCCCACCCTCCACCCGCTCCCCCCTCCGGCAGCCCAGGGGTATTAGTCCTGTGCTGCTCGCTTGAAAGCAGAAGTTGAGTCTCTCCTTGATGCATGGAAAAATGATGAGAAAGGGTCATGGGGTGGGAAAAGAAAATAAAAGCGCTAGCACAGGTGTACAGCCGTGCCTGCCGTGGCACAGGCAAGAGAAAACACAGTCCCCCTTGCCTCTTCCCTCTGCATCCGTAAATGAAATCCTCTATAAATGCTACGGCCAGGACGCAAGGGCCCGTGTGCTGTTTGTCAGGCTCTCCTTACTTGTTCACTCTGCGGGAAGCCACTGATGGATAACAGCAATTCAGGTTGCAGAGGGACCCTGGGGTCTGTCCGAGCACCGGTGGCCCTGGTCCCCTCACCCCACAACCGTGCTGGTCCCCCCCATCCCGTACCAGCGCCCCAGGAGGCAGCAGTGGCTGCAGGACACAGAAAATACTTATCTTTTTCTTCTGCTGGTTGAAGTTGTCGATGATGACGCCGATGAAGAGGTTCAGGGTGAAGAAGGCGCCGAAGATGATGAAGATGACGAAGTAGATGTACATGTAGAGGTTGATCTCGTACACTGGCTGCTCTTCAATCTGACCAGGAGAGATGGGAAATGTGAGACTAACCCTCTCCAGAAAGCGTGTCCCCAAGCCCCCAGACAAGGGCTCACTGTATCCAGACAGAGGTGATCCCCACCATCCATGGGGTGGCTGCTCTAAAACTTTCAGCAGATGCTGTGCAGGTTGAGTGGTCCCCATGGGAGCAGCCACGGGAAGGGACATCCACGTGACACTGCCTGGGGGACAAGGACGTGCTGACCTCCGATCCCACAGCATGGGCTGGGGAATAGGAAAGGATGCCCAGGTGCAGCGATATCAATGACCAAACTTGAGTTTCTTCCCAATAGTCAGCTTTCCAAGGGCTGAAATACAGCCAAGAGGGGAAAGGAAAAGTGGTTTAATTTGTGCCATGCCAGCACATGGGGGTGGCACAGCCTGGCAGCCTCAGAAAACACTCCCCGTCTCAAGGGGCATCGCTTAATTCTGCTCTATATTTGACTGGAGACATCCCAGGGTGTCACAACCTGCTTCCCCCATTTCGAGGAAACCTCTTGGCAGAAGGGAGTGGATTTGCTCCCAAAACAGCTTTGCCCCGGGTGTTCGGGGAGGCAGGAGACCAAGCCGTTTTCAAAGGGAGCTGGAAGCGGCTCCTCTGCTGAGCGCCGGCAGCTGCAGCCGGGACGAGCAGAGCGGCTGTTTCTGATGCTAAAAAAAGGCAACGAAAACAATATGTTCAGGCCCGTGGGTGTGCGGGGCTGACCCCCCCAGCGGGGCACGGGCAAGTTTGCTCACTTAGAGAAAGGTAGGAAGTCCCTCCTGCTGCGTTGGCTCATGGCAGCGTGTACACACATGGCCTGGCGTGGGGACACTTTTTGGGATGGATCATAGTAGAAACAGCCTCCGCATAAAACTCTTCAAAACACTTTTTTTTTTTTTAAATAAACCATTTAACCCAAAGGTTAAATGCTGGCTGCTCTGTTTTAATAACCCATTTATTGCTCAAGGCAAGCCAGGCACTTTCTCCAGGACGGGATAAGCTCTCCCGGATGGAGGGGTACGTGGAGGGCATCGTCTCACAGCAGGGTGAAGGACGAGCCCTCTGGTGCGGAGCTGGGGAGGCAGAGCGGGGATTTCAGACCACAAAACTGAAGCTGAGAGGAGCGGGCTTGGCCCCAGCTGTAGCCCGGGTTGGGTGGGAGCCCGGTGTGGGTGCCAGGCTGCAGCTGGGATGCAGGTGACAATGACATGGGTGGCACAGGGACACACAACTGGCTGCCCTTTTTGAGGCTGTGCACCTCAGCAGGGGGGATGTTTCAGCGGTTTCTCCACTCTTTAGCCCATGTCCTAGCTGAAGCAATGGGTGGGAGGGATGCAGGCAGCCCCCCAGCACCAATGGGCAGAGCCAGAGGGGATGCTGCGGCCGAGGGGTCCGTCCCCAGACCACGCTGGGCTGCACCTTGGCCCCAGGACTCTGCTCCCAGTCTGCCAGGGGGAACCGACCCAGTGGGGTGAGCGATGCTTGGTGCCGGTTGCGAGACATCCCTGCATGTCCCCTCACCTCGCGTGAGTCCACGGCGGCGTACATGATGTCCATCCAGCCTTTGAAGGTCGCCTGCGGGGATAGCAAAGAACAGATTCACTGGGAGGTATTTGGGGCTAGGGAGGGAGGGGAGGGCGATGGGTGAGTGTTTGGGGTTTACTTTGGGGGGTTTAGCTCTGAGCATGCCTGCGCAGCCTGGAGTTACAGCTTCTCCATGGGAATGGCAGGAGAGGGACCATGAGTTGAATCCACAAGAAAAATGCCCCGATGCAGAAATACTGAGATTTGCATGTGTGCACACATAAGCTCCATTCTGTGGCTGTGGTTACCAGGGAATTCCCAAAACACTGCTGCAAACCAGGCTGGGAAAAGAAGCAATTGACTCTTTTCCCCCCCAAAACAAAGTGCATTTTCCCAGCGGCAGAGCTGTGCCGGGGCTGGCTGCTCCTCCGCCCAACCTGGGCCACTTCCGTAGCCCTGACTTCTGTATTGCTGCCTCTGCTATCTGCTGGATCCCGATCCTGGTGGGGTACACTGCATCTTTTACAGGCTTTTGCTGCTGATTTGTTAAACAAAAAGCCTGAACATCTTGTTTCCTGAATCTGATGGAACAACAAACCTGAAGAGGAAGCTGAATTTAAAGCTGGTTAAATAATTCGGGTCATGCTCTGGTTCTGCAACCGCCAGTTCCCCTGGATCTGATGGGAGTAACCCCAGCCCACCCAATAACGGAGCCCACATCTATGTTTTTATTAAAATTGTGGTGAGCAGTTCCTCTTCTGCTTGCCTGGCTCAGCTGCTGGTTCAGTGGAAGCATGGCTGTGTTCACCCACTGCCCTGCAGCTCTTTTTCCAACCATCACCTTTCCCACGCGAAACTCTTGCAGCCTACGACTACAGCAGACCGAACTTTTAAAATGGGTGGGGGGAAAAGAAAGTGCCTCCCCTCCTCCTCCTGCATCCCGTGCTGGGCAGAGGACTTCTCGCAGCTCCAGGCTTGGTACTACCTACGCTCATCTGCAGCGGGTCCCTGGTGACACTTACCTTCCCCTCCCATCTTCTACTCTGTCCCTTTCCTCCTTGGCTCTGCAGGGTTTTTTGTGTTAAATATCAACTTTGGAGCTAAGAAGCGGCCAAGAGGCCCTATCTGGGCATCAGGGCAGCATCTCGCTTCAGCCCTGATGCTATTCACACTGCCCTGCTACGGCAGTGCACATCTTGGAGGGATGGCAGCTGCTTTCATTACGTACCACCTGCAGCAAGGAGAGGTATCCCAAGCCCACGTTGTCGAAGTTGACCTTGACGTTGACCCATCTGACCTCGTTGGTGTAGAGGAGGGCCATGCAGTCGCTCTTGTTGTTCACCACGCTGATGTCAAAGAGGTCCCCCGAGGTGGTGTTGACGCATCGGTAGTACTTCCCCGCAAAGAGGTTCACCCCCATAATGCTGAATATCAGCCAGAAGATGAGGCAGACCAGCAGGACGTTCATGATGGAGGGGATGGCGCCCAGCAAGGCGTTCACCACCACCTGCAAGGGGAGAAAAGACCTTGGAGGACCTGCCTAGGGAACCACGCTAGCAATGATGTGGACCTTCATGTCCCTGTGCCCCAGCCTTACTCTCCTCAGCAGCACCAAGTGGGCTCAAACTGGACCAAAGGTACCTTAGCATCAATCCCACTGATCTGGAGGCCCCTAAAATCCAGCTGGGATGGGTCCCTGATGTAGGTGACTGCTGAACAATGCTGCTTGCATGGCCATGTCAGAGCCAGCAGCACACGGGGGAGGCACCTACCCTCATGCCTTCAAATCTGGACAGGGCACGCAGTGGTCTCAGAGCCCTCAGCGTCCGCAGGGACTTGATGGCTCCCAGCTCGGAGTATCCCAGCCAGTTTGCTGTCAGGCTGATAATGGAAACCTGGAAGGAGCAGCCAAAGGGATTAGCAGCATCTCAGATGGAAACAACGGAGATAAATTGAGACACGTCCCTGCAGCTCCTGCCCGTCCCTCTCTCCCCAGCACTCCCTCAGGCCAGTGGTCATTGTCTTGTCTTGGGACACAGGGACTGGCATCGAGTCCTTGGGTCCCTGGTGACCAGCCACCTGGAGGATGTCCCTGCCTCTTGGGTATGAGGATGGAGGTGACGGGGGATGCAGAAATACAGCACAGGTGGAATGGCCTGCTGTGTCACAGAGCATTTGGGAGACCCTACGTCCCTTCACATCTCTACTGGGGTCTGATAGAACAGCATGGGCTTATTCTTGGCTTGAGCATAAACCAGAAAGGGTTTGAAAGGGTTTCTGCAACCAGGCAAAGAAGTGGCCCTTCCTGTGGAGGACCATTATTTTAAGCAATGGTCTAAGCCCTCATTCCACAGCCACACTATTGTCCTTTAAAATACGATATGGGTTCATTTCCAACAGCCTGCTACAATCCCCTAATGCTCCCAAATCCCTTGGCTAACTATGGCTCTAGAGGTGCTCATCGGACAACACTTACATCGACGATGAGGAAATCCAGCCAGCACCACGCGTTGGTGAAGTACACCTTGAAGCCGTAGGCCACCCACTTGAGCAACATCTCAATGACAAAGACGTAGGAGAAGACCTTGTCGGCGTACTCCAGGATGGTGCGTATCACCCTTCGTTGTTCAATGTAGATGTCCTCAAAAGCCTGGAAGAGGCGTGGAGCTACGTGACAGTCATTCTTCCACTAGGCCCGCTGCACGGCTCAGTGCAGCCACATCCATGCCTGCATTGTCCCTGCTTTCCTAGGGCTTGGGGCAGCTTGAAAAGTTGAGAGCCTAGCTGCGGGTGGCATTTACCGATGCACCTGATCAACTCTTGTTTGCAAGTTCCTGTTGGCTATGTAGAGCGGTGTATGTCCTAAAGCAAAGCTTCACTGAAGCAAATGTCCAGCTGCATCAAATTCCCACCAGTCTGAGCACAAGTGAAAAGCCGGGACACCAGCCTGCACCTTTGGATGCCTTGGTAGTTTTGAAAATGCTCTTAGGAGTTTGGGTTACTGCTATGTCCACATGGCACGTAAAACATAAGCAGTCAGAGCTACGGGCATGGTGACCAGGTGTTCCACAGCTGTTTTAACACAGCTTTCGATTCCGGCACTAGCTACAGCCTCAGACATCCCCAAACTGCACTTCTGAGCGTGATGCAGACGCATAAAGTATGTCTGAAAAACAGTTCAGTCCCTCTATCCTCCTTCCCTCTCTCTTTACCCCCAAACTTGCAGAGAAGTTGGTCTCCCCATTAGCTCTGTGTAGTTACAGGTGCAGCTGAGCTACATCCAGCCCAAATACTCAGAGAGGACCAACAGGCTGACACGCAGCTTTTTAATGAGGGTGATTTAAAAGGACACCCAGGTTCTGGGAGGGTGCACCAGTCAGCAGCTGGAAGTGCTGAACAGCAAAATAATAACCATGAATTATTTGTAAAGCACCTCCTGACAGCCAGTTACGGAGGCAGTGAAATGAGGAACCGTCCACACAAAGCTGAATAGATGGTGCAGACAGTTCATGGTTGACATTAAGAGCAGGAGGGGAAGATGTAGGCGGTTGCATCCCCTTGAGCCCATGGACCCATGATGGATGCTGGGGAGGGTTGTACAGGGGTGACTGTATGGGTGCAGGGCTCTTGGAGGGCAAGGGGAGGATGTTTAGATCCCCTTGCAAGGCTGTACATTGGGCAGACCTGAGCCAAATGGGGTTTCAAATCAAACACCTGCCCACAGCTGCGTTATTTTGCACAGGAGACAACCAGGCGACGCCCAGAGCCTCCGGTGCTGCTGCCTGGGGCCTGCCCACGTTCCTGGGCTCCCACCAAGCTGGGGAGCTGCTGCAGAGCAAACGGGACAGGGCGAAAGGTGGGACCTACCAGTGCCCCACTGCTGAGGAGGATCATGAAGACGATGAAGGTCTCGAACCAGTCGTGCTCCACAATTCGGAAGCAGGTTTTCCGGATGTTCCACCATATCTTCCCTCTGTCGCTGGTGACGTCCACATAGAGGCAGGGAAACCGCTTCACGCAGGCTGAGGATGGGACAAAGAGCTGTGGGTTACCTCCTGGCCAGGGCGTTTCCACCGATACGATGCTATTCGTGCTTTTATTGTCTTTTCAAACCCTCCTAGGTGGAGGCTGCAGCAGGATCCTGCTGGGTTAGAGGGTGTGCACGCAAGAGCGGAGCCCCATGGGGACCATCTCCTTGGTAGTACAGGAGGATTTGGAGTTTGGGCTGAGCTAAGTGAGCCTGGGGGTTGTTACGCTGCAAGAATTGGTTGGCAATGGCCGCTCCATACCCACTGCCCCCCTCTCCCCAGGGTCCCCTGCCCTGCTTGGTCCCTCACCTTCGGTGAAGCACTCCTCGGGCTCGTTGCTGCCCTCAGCCTCTTCTGCCACCTCCTCCTCCACCGGTGGCGGAGGCTTGTAATCCACAGTGCTGCACAGAGACGATGCATTGTCGCTGGAGAGGGGATTCTGCAAAGGGAAAGGAGGATTCAGGCTAGGCTGCCCCGCAGAAGGGGTGCTCCTGGGCTGCGGCTGCCTCCGGCCATCCTCCGGCTCCTGCTGCCCCCACCGAGGGAGCCAGCTGGTGGGACCCCCTTGCTTGAAGGCTGCTCTGAGTCCCTTTCCTATGAAATCACAGCCCAGAGTGAAGCTGTTGAATTGTCCAGGGCTGCAAACCTTGGAGGATCGTTGGTACATGACCTTGCACAAGCTTTGCTTTTCATCCAGGTTCAGAGGAGCAAAAGGTCCCCTGACCCCAGCCTTCCTCCCAGCACAGCAAGTCCATCTCCCATCCACTTGTACCATCATCTCAGGCTGATTTTCTCACCTCCTCCTCCTCCTCTGCATTCCCCCATCCAAGAAATGCTCTGCCAAACACCCCGTGGTACAATCAGACCTACAGAAACCTGGGCGGCCACCATGGCACTTCTCTCGAATCCTGCTGGCTCGGCTCGTGCCGAAGGGCTTTTAGGCTGGGGTTCACCCAAGTTCAAAACCTGCATCGCAAATATCTCGCCGGCTCCATCCCGTGCCACAGCTCAGCTTGGCTGGCTTCCCAGACACCACTCAGCAAGGTCTGGAGGGGCTGATAACGAGAGAAAACCTTGGCAAGCCCCTGGGATTTTTTCCTCCTTTTTTTTTTTTTTTGGCTTTCAGAGAAGGCCTTCTGCAGCACTTGAGGAAAGAGAAGATCCCCAGACCTGCCTCTCCTACCTGGGAGCAGATGATCTTGGATGGGCATCTCCAATGCAGGATGGCGTTGCCTTGCATGGGAAGGAGATAATCCTCCCCCAAGGTTGCTAGTGCTTTCAGTGGTGAATAAAGTAGCTACTCCGTCCTCCAACAAGCCAGGGAAGACCCCCTGGGGTAGTCTGAGACATTGTCGTTGCCTGCAGCTTCAGGGGCCACAGCCACATCAGTAGAAGACATTGCTTTGGGGGTCCCTTGCAGCCTGGCTACTGCGTGCTGGGGACACGCAGGGCATTGCCTTGAGGACACAGCAGTAGCACAAGCTGTTGGCTGGTGGCTCTGCAGGAGCAGTGGGGCCACCCTCCGCTGGGGCTGGGGGGGGGACAGGAGGGGCAGGGGGATTAGGAGGCCTCGGCATGGAGCCAGACAAGCTGTGACCCAGGGGAAAGACACACGGAAACCATCTGCCTCCAGGACAAGTCTTGCAAAGGCACAAGGTGGGAACGAATGAGCGCAGCCGCCCCAGAGATCGGGGGAAATGTGCCTGAGAGGCGCTTGGCAGGCTCGTGTAACCCAGGAACTCGTGTAACACCAGTAACCATGTGTGCTGGTGCTCAGGGCAGGTCCTGTTGGATGGGGAGAGGGATATCTGTGCTGGTCCCACTGCATGGTCCCCAAACCCCATCCCTGGGGGCTCCTGAGCCCCCACGCGCCTGCAACCAGCAGGTTTGCAGGGCAATTTCCATCACACGCCTGGTATGGCACCTCCAGCCTGGCTGGGTGTTTCCACCCAAATCCAGGGCTTTCCCCATCCTTGCCAGCACTGAGCATTGGCATCCATGTGCTGCGCACCCAGACTCACCCTGTGACCCCCATAATTCACGGCACTTGACAATACTCCTGTGATGCACCGCAGCCCAGAGCATCTCAGGAGACATCACCCTGTCCGGCAGGATGGGAGTCTGAGGCAAAAAGCCCCCTGGAAGAGCCCTGAGCCACAGTACTAACTCTGCACAGCCACACACCAACGCTGCTGTTCCTGTCACCTCCTCGCTGCTTTGCGGTGCAAAAGATAAATCAACCATAGGATGCAGAAGTGCTCCAGGAGAGCAGCCACGCTGCTGCCATCATCCTGCCGCTATCATTTCACCCTGAAAAATATCTTTGCCTCGGAAAGGAGCTGCTCTGGAAGAGGGAGAGCATTTATCAACGTTTTCTGAGCAGCCTATCCGGAGAAACCCCCCCAGTTTGCAATCGTCACTGGCGGCCTCTGTCCCCGGTGCGAGGCGGTGTGCCGGGCTTTGGCTCCATCTGGAGCTAATCGACGGCATGTGAACACACGGAGCTAGCAGCAATCTTCCCCGAGGACCAGCTCAGGGCTCCCACCAATTAGCACCCGATTTCTAATTACTAGGCAGTTATTTCATGTGATGACTGCCAGCCCGTTGCCCACCCTGCCTGTTCAGGCAGGGGCAGGGTCATTAATGCACCCTCCTGGCTTGCACCTTCGTCAACGTTCAACTGAATTTAGCTGCCAAAACCATCAGCGATGATGGGGTGAACCGGTATTTAGGGGTTGAGAGATGCTGTTTGCCCCCTGCACAAGCTGAGCAGCCAGGGATGGCTCTCAAAACACAAGCTCCATGCAGGGCGTTGGAGCCGGTGCCGCTAGATGTCAGCTGAACACAGCACCAAAACGCCAGAGCCACGCCGGGACACGTCCATAATTGCACATCGAGGTTTTCCCTCATCCGCCGGGAAGCACATCGTGGTGGTGGGGAACTGAGGTCCATGGGGACCCCGCAGACCAGGCTGGATGTGTCCCCCCTCCCTTGCTGCGGCCGGGTTGGCATTAACATCGCCTCTGTGCAGCATGACCGCACACCCAGTGTGCTATGGCATGGCCTGGGCGTACTGGGGGTTAGTGCTACCGGACTGGGCTTGTAGTAGGAAAAATTTGGGGAAAAACGCCAACTCTCAGCCTTCCTGCTGGCGGCACTAAGGGGAACGACAACAGCAACTCCCCTCGGCCATTCCCTTGGCAAAGGTGCTCCAGGCAAGTTTGTCCCTTCTGAGCACAGCTCAGCAGCACGTTTGCAACCGGTCACAGCCAGCCACCACCTTTCCTGCCGTTTTCCTCCTGCAGCCCCAACTGCTGAAAACACCCTGTTTTCCCAGCTAAAAAAAAAAATAAAATAAATCAGGATTGTCCCCTCTTCTTGCAGTGTGCCCCGAGCGAAGCCAGGTCCCTGTCACTGCGCGGAGCTGCAAGGAGCCTGCAGATGGGGAGGGAGGCGGATGGCTCTGGGGTTTTGGGAGTCCTGGTTCTTTTGCCAGCCCTGCATTGGGCTCCCTGTGCAAGCACAGCCAGGCACTCAGCAGCAGTTGTGATTGCACCCAAACTGCACCACTGCCTTCCGCCCCAGCACACCGCCCCGAGCAGGACTAGCTGGGACAGAGCTTCCCCAAGGCTCCTCAGCTCCTGGGCAGACACATTTGCCATTGATAGTCACAATAAACCCTCGGGTCAGAGCTGTTCTATTATTCATACAAAATCCCTTTCCAGATTGATGCAGTTGCTCCTCTCCACCGCGGCATCCCCAACTGCTCTGCGTTTCCCCAGGACCTCGATGCGACCCCACTGCGAGCAGTAATTTCCCACCAGACTATCACCCTTCTTTCTGCGTCCACTCAGGTCTTCCCGAGTTTCTTGTCTCGCATCTCCCGGTCATCCTCCCAGAGCACCAAGGCGATCAGTGTCCCACGAGCCCTGACAGTCCTCTCCGCGCCTCAACACAGCAATGCCAACATCAGCTGTCTCGTCAGCTTTGGATCCAAAATGCATTGCTTCATGTTCACTTGTGCTAAGCTCCTCCATCTGGTTTCATACCCTCCCGATGATGCTTTCTGAGGCATTAGCAGTGGATCCAATGTTAGCGCCATCAGCAGATTTCCTGGCATCAAATTCCTCTGGAACATCTTTAACCCCATACTGAGCGCTTTGACCCTTGCACCAACCCTGTGGTGCAGCGGGTCCCCCTTGTGTTAGCAATAACCCCATAGCCTCACCCAAAACCGGCCAACCCCCCCACCTCTGGCTTACCCTGGGAAATGCCGGGTTGAAAAACCCCAAGTTTGGCCCATGCCACACACTGCGGAAAAGCTAGAAGTAACCCAAACCAGCATAATTCTGTGGGCAGCACAGCAAGAATGGGTCAATCCCAGTTTTTGGGTTGAAACCCTCCCATCCACCTGTCTGACCTTGGCATCTTCGGTGTCGGACTGGGTGCTCGTCTCCTCGTAGAGGTCAGACTCCTCCGAGGCGATGGGGACTTGCACCGTCAGGTTGGGGTTGTTAATGAAATTCATGTGGTCCAGTTCATCCATGAAAAAATGCTCTTTGCCAGTGATTCCGTCCAGGTACTCTGACTTGGGGTCCTGGCCAGCGTCCATGTGGTTTAGCACAGAGTTGTCCCTCTTACTGTGCTCTTGCTCTTCCTCCGGGGCCACCTTCTTCCCCTTCCACAGCCTGCGGAGCAGCGTGAGGACAGCGGTCTTTACAAAGTTGATCCCCTTGGTGATCCTGCCAATCGCGATCTGCAAATTGTTCATCTCTCCGTCGTCATCAGACGCCGCCAGGCTATCAGCGCTGAAGGAGCTCAGCAGCAAAGCTAAGAACAGGTTCAGCACCTGGAGGGGACAAAGGCAAATACCAGCGCTGACATCCAGCACCAACATTGCCCCTGCAGGCTGGAGCGGCAGGGACCAGTCGTGGCCGTGGAGGAGACCCTTATGTTGAACATGTCATGGGACTCCCTCCTCCCATCGCCCAACTCTGGGGACTGCAGAGATGCCAGCCCTTCTCCTGGAGGACATGAACATGGTCCTCCTCACTCCTCCCTGGGCTGTGATGCCCTCGGTGTCACCCCCGGCTGCTTGGGTCCTGCTGATCCATTTGCAAGCGATGCCAGTCATCGCTTCAGCCCCTCTCAAACCACCTCCCCTGTGGGTCCATCAACATGTCCCTCCCTTCGCTCTCTTGGAGCTCTTGGCCTGGCTGGTCCCCACGTGGGACTCCCTAAAGCCTATGGTGCTTCTCCCCACCACCCATAGGGATGCAACTCAGCTCCGTCCCTTCTCTTCCCAGGGAGAAACCTCCTGCTTATTGTCCTCCCAGCTGCAACTCTTCCTCTCCTCTTTGCTGGCTCTGGTAGCTCGGATGCCCACTGACCTCTTGAGGGTCTCCAACGCCCTGGAGCCACAGCCGTAACCTCATCCCTTTCTACCAGAGACTGCTCTGCTCCATGGAGAGCGGCATTTCATCCCAGCGCAAGTCAGTTCACGGGATGCAAATGCAATGCACTATATACCTCCAAGCACGAGCTCTCTCCTGCTTTCCCCAGATGTCTCCTACTTCACCGTGCCCAAAGCGTGACTGGATCCCACTGCAGCCTCGCCTGGCACGGGTGGACTCACTGCGTGCCAGAAACCTGGAGCAGCTCATGAGAATAGGAGTGGGACAGGCTCTCCCCGGGGTACGGCAGCATCGGCAGCACCCAGACGTGCACTCGCTGCGCAGAGCGGCCGATGGGCCAAGCCCACAGCTGTTGATGTTTGTGCCTTTTTGTGCCAGCAGCGTATCTGAGAAGGGAATTAGCTGCTATTCAAGGTCACTGCTGTTTTCACATGGCTCATACCATATGACTTAAATCGCATCTTTAAATAAATCCCTACTATCCCATCAGTTTAATACTTACATTAAGCACCAGTTACAGCTAATAGTTGCTGTTGGCTCTGGTTTTTTTGGACAGGAGTCCGTTACCTTGTCACCCGACTGACTTCCTCCCTTTTCCCTTAATAACCCCAAAGGAAATGCTCAAAGTGTCATTAACAGTAAAGGACGACCGACCGTCGCCTTATTCCTTTGCAGGGGAAGTGGGTAGAAACACACGCCTCCCTGCAGCCGGGATGCTCAGGAGGCTGCTCGGGACAGGCTCCAGGACTCGGAAATACCTGAGACACGGCCAGGAGAGCCTGGCAAAGAGGATGAAGAGGGCAGAGATGGCTCTGTAGATGGTCGTGCACTGTGTTTCTCTACCTAGCTTTAAATGAACCCCGTGGAGCAGCACAGAGCACAGCAGGAGCTGCAAAGCTTGCCCGGAAAGCTGGGGTGCAATCTTGGGGAGGGCTACACCTCTGGGAGGGCTGCCTCTGACCCCACCAGCTGAAAATCATGCTGCCCCCATATTGTCTCCAGGAAAGTCTCCTGGAGGGGTGGATGGGCTGTCCTACTCCAAAAACTGGCTCCAGAAGAGGAAAGGATTCCAGAGCCCTTTTTGGGGAGGGTCTCCAGGGAGCCCCAGCTGTGATTCCCAGTCTCTAAGCTCCTGCACTCTCTGCAGACCATCCTGGAGATGCTCCTGCTGCTTATGGGTGGTTTTCAGCCTGATTCAGCATTGCAATTCAAATGAACGGGTTCCCCCTTGAAAGGTAGCCTTACAAACTGTTGCTGACTTCTGGGCAGCCCGGGGGCACATGGGGCTGCTCCCCACCGCGAGGCGATGCGTGCACGTCTGCCCAGCATCACCCAGCACAGACCCCAGAACACCCCAGGGTGAGGTCTGCAGCCAACATGGCTCTCCATGCTGCTATGGGGGCCAGTTCAAAGCCCCAAATACCTGGCCCGAGCCAGGGAAGCCAAGCAGCACTCAAATCCCAACTTTCTGCCCTCAAAGCGGGACACTCCAAGCTGCCCTACCCCTTACCCGATCCAGGGGGTGGTCTGGGTTTCTCCCCGGGGTTGCTTTCACCCCTCTGGAGGGCTGTGCCAGCCTGGGGCTGGAGCAGCCACCCGTTGTGGGGAGGGAGGCGTCAGCAGCTCCCTGGGCAGATAGTTTTTCAAAGCAAATTCCAAAGGGCTTACACAACCCCGGCAAGTAATAGGAGCGATTCGGCAAGCCGCGCGCTTCCCTCCCCTGCCTTGCTCCTTAAGAAGGGAGAGCAGGGCCCACACAGCCTGGAAAACAAGCTTCAAAGCCGCCAGCAAGAGGGTTACCAAGTTTAGAAAGGATTTCACGCTCGCCTGGAACTTGCAGACCTGCAGCGCTGGTAGCGAGCAGCTTGGAGGGCAATGGGCAGAGAGGGAGGGTAATGGTGACCAGGGGTTCACCAGGACCTGGGGGAAGGACCCCCTGTGCTGCAGAGGGGTCGTGCATTGCCGGGATGCCACCGGGACTGCAGTGAGGATGGGGGATGCTGGGGATCTGCAAAAGCCTTCCAGGGGGGGTCTGCCCCCAAAAGCACCTGGGAGCAAAGGGCCAGCCCTGGGGTGAGCTGGATATAACACTGCCTCCATCCCTCATCGCAGAAGAGTGGGAAATAGGGGAGGAAAGCCTGAAAAGCCATGTGGAGAAGAAAGGGCAGCTTGAAGATGAGCTCTCTTTTGTTCCAGAGCTGCTCCTGCATCTGCCTGAAGCCTGTTGTTAAGTTTTCCATGCCTCGGTTTCCCCTTCTTTTCCTGATCTAGTTTCATCTGAAGGTCACTCAGAAATTGCTTCTTACCCTGCTTTACACAGAGCTGAGCACACAGTACAATCCCAGTGGGTCTACAGGAGGGAGGTCGAGCCCTTTGCCTGTGCTCCTGTACAGCTCCAACCAGACCGTGCCTACAGGCATAGCCCTGTAGATGAGCTGAGCTGGACAGCATTGGCCAGCGAGTGAGGGGCAGAGGTGTCCCCACCCCACAACACCCTCCATCCTTGCCCCCCACCTTTCATTGAGGGTCCACCCCACTTCCAAGACTCACCACGAGGTTCCCGATGACCATGACCATCATGAAGACGATGAGGCACATGGTCTGGCCGGCCACCTCCATGCAGTCCCACATGGTCTCGATCCACTCCCCGAGGAGGAGGAGGAAGACGATGAGGAACGAGTGGAAGAAATCGTTCATGTGCCACCGTGGCAAACTGCCGGTCGTGCTTATCTTCTTCACGTTGTCCATGTAGCTTTTCCCAAAAAGCTGCATTCCTACCACGGCAAAAATAAAGCAGAGGATGCGGAAGACGATGAGGAAGGAGTGGAAGAAGTCATTCATGTGCCAGCGGGGCAGCGTGCAGTCAAGAGAGATCTTGCACACGCACTCTATGTAGCTCTTCCCAAAGAGCTGCATCCCCACCACGGCAAAGATGAAGACGATGATGGCCAGCACCAGCGTGAGGTTCCCCAGGGCGCCCACCGAGTTACCGATGATCTTGATGAGCATGTTGAGGGTGGGCCAGGACTTCGCAAGCTTGAAAACCCTCAGCTACAAGGAGCAAGGAGACAAGGCGTTGATTTGCCTGGGGCTTTCATTGCCAGAAAGCATCAGCAAGGCTGCGAAGCTGGGATTAGATCTTCACGTGGCAGTTTTATTAAGGCAGGAGGGATTAAACACCCAACTGCTTTGCAAAGAGCACAGACTCCGACTTTCCTAAATATTTAGCTTGACTGTTAGTGTTATCTTTAACAGGGGACAAGTTGGTGACCGCCATAAAGGAGGTTGAACAAGCCATTCTCCACCCTGGTGGCAATTGCATCCAAAACCCCCTGGCACAGCTTGTCCCCGTGGCACGTACCAAGCGGAAGGAGCGGAGCACGGAGAGCCCTTGCACGTTGGCCAGGCCCAGCTCCACCAGGCTCAGGGTAACAATGATGCTGTCAAAGATATTCCAGCCCTGCTGGAAATACTCGTAGGGGTCCAAAGCAATGAGTTTCAGGACCATCTCCGCCGTGAAGATCCCCGTAAAGACCTGTGGGAAACAGCACCCCGTCAGCTTGCTTGAAAGCCCGTGCTTCGGCATGGGGTGGGTAGCACCTCTCCTTTTTGGGGTATTCCCAAAGTGTTTCATCCCACTGGGTCCAGCCCTGGTTGAGCACGAGCTCCCCAGCTGTTACCCAGCATGGCTTGTGGAGCCGGGCTGGGAGTACTGGGGACTGATTGCTACTGGAGAGACTTGGCAAAGGTGCGTGTTAGCAAGTGGAGATTAAAAATAAAAGTCTCATTGGCAAAGGGACCCCCTTCAAATGACTGCTGAATCACAGGGGTTCCCAGCACTGGGAACTGGGCTGCTACTGGGATGCCCCTGTCCCACCCCGAGCCCTGCGAAAGCTGACCCGGCTTTTACACATTACTCTTTTCCGGGGACTACAACGGCGCTGTGCATTATCACATTACTCCAGAGCCGGATCAGCAATGTGACAATTAGCATCCTTGATGCGATTTCATGACACGGTGTGTGCAGAGGGGGCCTGCTGACAAATTTTGCCCTGGATGTGGATCGAGTTGGGATGCACAGGTCCTTGCCTCCACCTTGCAGAAAGGCTTCTGCACTGGCATCTCAGGGGATGCTCCCCAACCTGCTCCTTTGCATGCCAGCCGACAAATGTCCCTTTTTCTGCTCCTGCCAGCTGATCCCTGCTCTCTTCACTTACAGCCTGGCCATCTTTCTGCCTGCAGCGAGACAGGCAGCAGGCGCTGCTGCTTTCATCTTGGGCACAGGCAGGCGATGTGGAAGGAGACCGTGGCTCAGTGGGAGCTGCTTCTCCTGCTCCCATCCCTCCCTGGCCCTTCCCCAGCAAATCCCGCCCGCTCCCTGCATTGGGTTGTACATGCAGCCAGAAACCGCTGCTGGCCCGAAGGAGAAGCTGGACCTGTCTTTGCAGCGTGACCGTGCTTCGAGCAACAGCCGATTAATCCCCTTGTATTTCCTGAATGAAACCAGAGACAAAGCAGCTATGTGCTGAGCGTCATCCTGCCCACCCGGGGCTCGGGCACCGGCATGTGTCACTCCAATGCCTGTGCACAGAGAGGCCCTGGCATGTGCTGGAGCAGGGCAAGGTGGCAGGAGAGGAGACGGCGAGCTCTCCCATCCCTTAGCTGCATTTCCCAGAGCTACCAGGGGCCTCCCGGACTTGTCCCACCAGCAGATTGCATCCAGCTGAAAGCCATTTGCCCTGAGCTCCAAGCAGGAGCAAGCACAGCCGGTTGCTAAATACACCCATGAAATCAGGACAGCCCAGGTTTGCAGTGATTTCACTGGGAAAAGTCCTGACGATGATTATTGTTATTATTGTTATTATCTAATGCTGCTAGCACTGTTGCCTCCTGCTCCATGGGGACCTGTTTGCTCCCAGCATCTGAATTGGCTCCACATGGCATCCCAGCATCGCAAGGACACTGTAGTGTCAGCCAGGGCTGGCAGCAGCTCGTGCCTGACCCTGGGTTGCAATGTAGAAGATGGCTCAGCACAGCTCTGCAAGGCCATGGCCACATTGGCATCGCCAAGATACACCAAACAAGACAGAAGCTGCAGCAGAAGGGGAGCAGGGGATGATGGATCCCACCCCCATATCACTTCCCTTGATCTGAGCCATCCTGGAGTCCAACCCCTCACAGGGGTGCTGTGATCAGACCCCTGCAGCACTTTCTCAGCAGCTGGGACGTGTTTCCAGGCAGGCATGCATGCTGTTCAGGCGACACAATGGCAGCAGAGGGGATCTGCCCACCAGGGTGGATGGCTTAGAGCCATCTGCTGTGGCTCTAAACAGGGAAGGACGGGATGCCCGTAGCTGCCTACCAGGTTCCCCACGGTCAGCATGTTCTCAAACTCCTCCATCATGGGATAATGCTCCATGGCCATGAAGACTGTGTTGAGCACAATGCAGATGGTGATGCCCAGGTCCACAAAGGGGTCCATCACCACCAGCTTGACAAACTCCTTCAGCTTCAGCCACAGAGGACAGCAGTTCCAGACCAGGAACGTGTGGGCAAATTTGTACCACCAGGATGGGCACTTCTGGTGCGCTTCCTCCAGCTCTGAGGGCAGGAAAGAAAAATGACCTCAGTGTAGGCTTATCTTGTCCTGCCCTGGGTGGGGCAAGTGCCAACCCACTAGAAGAGATCTCTCCTGAGTTCCTGAACCAGCCCTAGACCATCTACGAGTTTAATGTGGGGGCTAAAAGGAGGAGCCTTCCCATGCCCAGGCACAGTGATGTTGCAGACCTTACCCTCCAGAGAGGGATGGAAAGGCAGATCAGTCAGGGAACTGTGGGTCCAATCCTGCTCTCAGCACCTGGGCAGGATTTGAGGTGTCCGCGCCACACTGAGATTGCAGGGACATCCAAGAGAACTGCTCTGGGGTGGCCAGAGGGTTTGGTGCCCATTCTCAGGGAGGACAGGGCTGAGAAGCCTGTTATTGCTGCGTCTACGGTACTTTTCGCTGAAGTTGAGACAGGAGCTCTTGGGAAGCCACTCAACAGCTCTCAGTTGACTCTGGAGACTGCTATAATTAATTGCAATCCCATTCATTTGCAAGAGATATTGTATTATTGCCTCCAGGCATCATCCTAGCGAGCTGGGATGAAAAGCCTTGCTTGAGCATCCCTGCAGTCCACTGACCCCCTGTGGAGACCCCAGGTCCAGAGTCATCCCTTGCACGGGGCTGGAGATTTGGGACAGCCGCTATCACTGGTATGTGCCGAGCACCCCAAGCCCACCAACGCACAACAGTTGGGCTAAAACAGCTGGGACACACAGCCCTCACCCAGGCTGGGGAAGGACATACCTTCCACAGTGTTGGAGATGACACTGATGGCGCTCCCCACCCTCTTCTCGAGGCCTGGCCCATCTTGGTTGCCCATAGTGAGGTGGTTGTGGTCTGATTTCTCCGTCTCATTGGTTGGGTTGAACTAGAAGGAGAGGAAGCCACAGGGGACGAATGCAGAGCACTGCAGGTTATTTAATGCACTTAAAGACAGAGCAGGCAGAAAAAGGGCATGGTCTGGAGAGACCTTGGGGTGCAACATGGGAACTACAGAGGGGCTGCAGAAAGGCTCGTAGGACCCGACCCACAACAAGCTGGGCACAAGCCCGTCCCTCCACCAGGGTTTATTGGGGTGGGCACCCTCAAGGGATGGCAGAGACAGAGCCGAGCACGTACATTGATCACCGTAGCAGACCGCTCCAGCACGACCTTGGGGACCACTTGCCCGTTGCAGTCCTTTGCCTTGTCCTGGTCACTGTTCAGGTCCGAGTCGCGCTCCTTTTCGGCCACGCTGCTGGGCAGGGAACCGCTGCTGGACCGCCGGTCCTGCAACTGCAGCAACCCACGTCCCCATCACCCGCGTGTCCGCAGCCATCGGGAGCTTCCCGCAATGGCTGCAGGGCACCAGGCTAAGGAGGGGGTGAACTGAGCCCCAGGACCGTCCTGGGCAAGACTTTGTGACCCCAAAATCTGCTGCTGCAGGACTTGGGCAGCAAATTCAGATCCTCACAAGCAACAATGAGGGATAGTAATTTGTGGTAGATAAACAGAAATTTGAAGACTTTCCTTTCCACTTGCACACCCCACCGTACTAAGCTCTCCGCACAGCAGTATTAGATCTGTTCAAATTTGGTCAGGATGAATAATTCATAAGGACAAAACTATGCAAACCTTCTAATTTCTGTCTTGCAGGAAACTTTAATCTTTGAAACATGTTTTCATCCCAAATAGGAAAGAAGCAAAATCTTCAAGGCTCTTGCTGAAATGCGATGTCCAAGATTTTTGGACTTGCACTGAATTCGTGAATGTTTGGGTCAAAATTTCAATTTTTTTTCCCAAATGTTGTTTTATTAGGTTTTCATTTGCACATGCAATCTTTTTGTTTTGTTTTGTTTTTCGGGTTTTTTTTTGTTTTGTTTTTTTTTTTTGTTTCCAACAGTGGTATTAATATTTGAAGTTTACTACACCCTCCGGTAGCACTAAGGATGCCACAGTGGAGTGGGAACCTCTCTGTTCCCACTGCACATTGCTGAGATGCAACACACATTCCACGCTCGTTCGCTGATCCATTAAATGGATCCGAGCGCCCATTTCTTGTAGGCGCTTTGCCCTCACTCTTAGCCTTATTCCCTCTGTCTTCTCCATTTCCCTAGGTGACAATAAAGGAGTATCATCACTTAATAAAGCCATTGGGCAACTCACTGGTTAATTTGCTCAGGGAACCGGCCACAGCACCAGCTTTATGCCCAGCCCTGGAGTCTCCATCCCTCGGGCAGGGCTTGCTTAGACCCATCCTGCAAACGGCAGCAGCCAGATAAGAGCAAGCCACTTCCTCGGAGGATGTTGTGGCTCAGCACAGATAAGCAATGAGAGATAGAGGCTCTAGAGAGAGGAAAACATTGTTTTGTGTCTCTCTCTACATGCAAAGAAGCTGGTCTTTTGCCCAGACTAACACTTAGATTTGCAGGGATGTCCCCTGCGGACGTTGCTGACATAGACCAAAATGATGATTAGAGATGGAAAATGGCTGGGCTGCAGTATCAGACATCACAGAAGCTTTTGCCCATGTTTTTATAGCCCTATCGTGCTGAAAAGAGACTCCCAAGGACCGGAAAGGGGCTAAGGTAACACCCCGGGGCCGCAGTGGAGCAAACGTCTCTTGTCTAGACCGTGCTTTTGCCAATAAAGGTTGGACCAGATGATCCTTGAGGTCCCTTCCAACCTGGTATTCATAGGATCACAGAATGGTTTGGGTTGGAAGGGAACTCTAAAGGTCATCTAGTCCAGCCCCCCTGCCATGGGCAGGGACATCTTCAACTAGGTCAGGTTGCTCAGAGCCCCGTCCAACCTGACCTGGAATGTTTCCAGGGATGGGGCATCCACCACCTCTCTGGGCAACCTGGGC